TTCTGAGCTTCAGTCCCAGATATCAACTGCTTACTTGAGAGTCTCACCGTGAGGCCAGATGACTCCAGTTTCAGTGGAAAGCCCCACTATGCATCCATTCTCATGGCAAAATCCTGGGAGGTCATCCTTGACACCATCTCCATCTACTTCTCCATCTCCACCCAGTTTGTCACACCAACTCAGCCCTATCCATTCTTCTCCTACAGTGTATCTCGAATCCATCAAATTCTCTCCACCTCTATCGCTGCCACCATCCTAGGGGACAGCCGTGGCCTAACTATCCCCCTACTTTCACCCCTATTCACTTCCTACCCAGCCCTCTGACCCCACCCTACATAGCAACCAGCCTGAGTTTTGAAAAAACAAACCTGATCATATTTCTCCCCGATCAAAATCCTTTAATGGCTTTCGATCCATCTTTGGATAAGGTCCAAACTCCTTAAGGCCAACAACGCCCAACATGATCCGGTCCCTAAATACTCTCCAGTTTCTTTTCTGTAACATTTTATTACAAACATTTTCAAACAAATAGTCAAGTTGAAAAAAAATTACAGTGAATATACATTGACCGACCACCTGGATTCTACCATTAACATTTTATACTTGCTTTATCATCTATCTATCCATTTATCCATCCTTCTCTCCTAGTATTAATTTTTCTTGGTTTTGGTCCATTCCAAAGTAAACTGTAGGCTCCAGTCTCATTTTTGTCACTCTTCTTGTTGTTCCCTACACTCAACCCTAGGCATCTTCTCATTCTTTGAATCTGTCAGACTATTTTATATCTCTGTGCTTTGGACCTATTGCCCCTTCTACCTGAAATGTCTTCAGTTCTTGTTAATTCCTGACTCATCCTTTGGTTTTCAGCTTCAACTCTGTCTGAGAGGCAGTCACTGAACCCCCAGTCTAAATTAGATTCGCCTTTCTGCCTTACACATAATCTCAAGGCGTCTTGTGCTTTTCCTGAATATCGCTTGTCACAGTTGGTAGCTAGGTATTTTTTTTTGCAAAATCATTAGTTCAATGTCTACTTTCTCCACCAGCCCAAAAACTCCATGAGAACAGACACAATGTCTGTACCGGAGCATGCAGGATCACCCCCACAGAAAGTTAGTTAATAGTTGTTGAAGGAATTAAAGGCAGAAGGAATCAACAGTTACATAATAATAATATCATATTAATATAATAACAATACATGGACCCAGTGAAGTTGTTCTTCTTTTAATATGTACAAGCAGTATGGGTTTTTTAAGGCCTCTAAGAGAAGATGGAACTTACTCACTACCAGAATATAACCAGCAAGTACATTAAGGCAGATTGCCAAGTGGCAAGATCTGTGGCTAGTGGCTGAGTCAAGAAAGAGACTGTGGCGGGTCTCAGGGACTTCTCTCCCATTTCCACTAGCCCTCCCCTCAAGATCATCCCAAATCAACAACAATCCGAGGAAAACCAGGGTGCTTGCCATGCAAATGCAGTTTAAGTAATACTAACAACGGCTATAATGTATTGAGGGCATTGATCGAGGACTGGCTTTGTATCAGGCACTGTGTTGAGTGCTTTTCCTGCATTAGATATTCTTTTTGCCTGTGGCATAGGTTCTAATGTTAATCCCATTTTAAAGCTAAGGAAACTGAGAACAGAATAGTTATTTTTAAACAATAAGTTCTCTGACTTCCTCTTCTAACCAGATTGCCATTCCTGTAAAGTCCACCTACGTAGAATATTTATTCTGACTGTGCCCCATATGAGGGTAGAAAGATTAATCTAGAAAACTCTCAGACTGCTCTAATGGAGAGGGGGTTTTAGTTGGTTCTAACAAGTCTAAAAATATAGAAAGCCAGCCCTACCGATGCTTTTCCTCAGGTATTAAACCCAAACACACACTTTGATCCCTGCAAAGAATGTTTCCTCAGATGGGAACACCGTTTACACACAAAGATAAACCATTGTGATCTTCCCCATAACAGGAACTAATAGTTAAAGAAAAATGAAGCAGTGCAGAATTTCCTAGTAGAAGAGCATGTCAGCCAGTCTTGAGTTTGAAGACAAGCTTTTCCCCCGACTGTGTGACCTTGACAAATTAGTATCATCCCTGGGCCTCAGTTGCTCAGTTTCCTTATTTGCAAATGGAAATAACAAGATCCTCTTAGCAGGGGATGGACATATTAAAATGCTACTTACAGAAACCTCAGTACAGGGCTTGGAAAAGAGAAGATGCTCAAAGATAGTAACTTTAAGAAAGGGAGGAAAAGATAGGAAAACGTAGGGGAGGGTGGTAACTTAATACTCAGAATAAAAGAAAAGTTATAAGAAATGTTTTTAATAAATGCACATCATGCGTTCTTTTCCCAACTGAGAGAGAGAGAGGGAGGAGCTTGGGAAAAAGTGTCCTTTAGCATCTGCATTGCTCTTACCCGGATGAACTTGCCTGCAGATACCACTTACAATGCAAATTGAGCTTGGAGTCCTTCACACTAACTACACAGCAAAAACCTTTCAGCTTTAAATAGAATACTGCAGTGTGGAATGATCCGAGCAGAGGGAAGAAAAATTCAGAGATACATGCGAAGGAGATTTGGCAAAAAAAACCCTGCCATATCTGGGCAAGGGAGGAAAATGCAGAAATATCAAAGGAGGCAAAAAGAAAAGCAAAGTCTATAGAAGGACCTAGAAATTAATTCTCCAGAAGGTGAGTTTAAGTTAATAAAGGGAAGAGAACTTTGTGGCAAGCCCCCAATGAAGACGATTTTAACAAAGAATATTTTGATCTAGTGGGGTTCCTTCAAGGTGTACTAGCACTTTGAAGGTAATTCATCATCATCAGAAGGACACTTCCCCCTCTGGCCAGGTCAATGTTTCCTAAAATGCAATTAGGGATTGCATGTAAAAAGGCAATCTACATTGTCTAAGTTCCAATTTTTTTTTTTTTCCTTCCCAGACCTTCACTAAGATCAGGTAAAGAAACCTGGAAGCATACTGTGAAATAAAGGTTTGTTTAAATTTTCAATGTGGTGGCAGTTGGGGGGTGGGGGGAGGAATCCAAGAGGCTGATTTGGAAAAATTTTGGAAAGTTCTTTGCTATAAACTCATGCCTCATTTCAGACTATATGAACCCAGATATTTTATTCAGAACCAGAGGTTACAAAAATGTCATCAAATAGGAACAAAGATTAGGTAGTATCTAGGGCCCTGAAAGCGATAAGGAATGCCGTGTTTAACTCACTTCTTCATTCTACAGATGACGGTGCTACGCACATGGCCTCAATTTCCCCATCTTCCCAGCTCAGTAAGTTTCCTCTGCCTGCACTTGGAGGCATAATGCAATACAGAAGAAAACATGAAGGCAGCCCTCTATCTTTGTTGTCTCAAGTAGAAAAAAAAAAACAAGGTGCGCCCCCAAGGACAATAGACCCGAAAGCCAACTTCTCTTTTGGATGATATGCTCTGACCCAGAGCTGATCGTGTTCTACCTGGTGAGTCAGTGACAAAGCACTAAGAATGGGGAAGAACATCTTACCACCACGTTGTCACCAGGCAAGTAAAAAGAATCAGCAAGTATGGTGCTTGGTATGGGGCAGGGACAGGCTGCTGAACACCTTAAAAGCCACTTCTAAGCTCCTGAAGGCCAGAGCTCATAAAGCTCGGCTTGATCTGTCTAGCGCCATGGACGCATTAGGTGTGATGCTCTCTAATAATGATGATGAACGAAGCATGTATTTTCAATAGCGCTGGGCATTCTTTCTATCTAAAACTTCCAGGGATGTTTAGAGAAGATGCCACCTTTACCCCCAAATTGTGTGTCTTTTTATCTTTCACAACTTGAACTCTTACTACCACCACGCCCATCACATTTCTCTAATGGTCTTGATTTGATTAAATATTACAGAAATTTTAGCACCCAAGAATAAGAAGAAGAATCTTAAATTAACACGCCTTGCTACATTTTCCTAAAGCACTTTCACACATATTTTCTCATGTGGCTATCACAATGTGACAATGCAACACTTTATAGGAGTGGTGAAGGATAAAGGCTGACAGGTACAAAATGAAAGCAAAAATGCAAAAGTTTTGGTATTTAGAAACAAACAAAAAAAAAGCCTCCTCTCTCTATTCCCACACAAAAGGCAAATGAGATTCCACCTGCTGACTTTTCTTTCCTGCCTGCACCTCACTCAGGCTAATGTCAGAACAATCTGGGGGGTGGCGGGGGGGGGGGGGGGGGGGGGGGGGGGAGAGAGAGAGAGAGAGAGAGAAACACGACAATTTCACCTCTTGGCAAAGCTCAGCTTACTGAACCCTCTTGCTTTCTGCTGGCTGTTGATTCAGCAGAAACTACTGCTGCAGAATTCATAATGGTGATTTTTAAAGGCCCCACTGATCGCATTGCTCGCCCCACGTGTCACACTCATTCGCTCGCCGCCCCAGCACTGTTTCCCCAGCTACCTTTTTATATCTTGCTAATGCACTTCCAAGGGGAGAGGGGTTCGCCCTTTTTCAACGAGCCTTATGGGCTTTTGATTGTCTAAGCAGGTAACCCGGCCGGAGAGATGAACGGGCAGGAAATGAAACCATGCCCACCCTTGCAGCCACTGAGAGACACATCATTCCGCTCAGAGAGGGGTGGACCCACGGTCCTCTCGGGCCCCCTTCCTTCTTATTTCTCCCCTCAACCCGACCCTGCATACATATTGGGGGAAGGGGTCATCTGTCTTTGGGGGGTCATTTTTCCAGCCGGGAGCCCCACCCTGAAAAACCTCATCCCCGAGGGCCATTTTAACTCCCGTGGGCGCCGGGTCCACCTGCTGCTGAACGCCCGGCTCGCCTCGCGGAGCCCGGATGGATGTGGGGCGCACCGGCAGCTGCCCCTGCGAGCCGAGCCCCCGCCCCAGCCCCGGGGCCCGCAGGAGTCTCCGCCGCTACTCGCCCGGCTGCCCGCGGAGCTCAGCGATCCGCAACTTGCGCCCTTCCCCAGCGGCGGAATGCGGCGGGGCTGGCGTTACCTTCGGTCGCATAGCTGTGGTCGCGCAGGAAACTGTTGTTGATTTTGCGGGTATCAATGTCCTCCTCCATTGACAGCAGGCTTACTTGCGTGGGAACCAGAAGCCGGCAGACAAGTATCCATGATCCCTCCCCGCAGCCAGTCTCACAGGAGAGGGGGGCAGGGGAGCCAGTGGGACTGCACCATGGTCCGAGCCTGAGGAGGAGACGGGGAGGCGGAGAGAGAAAAAAAATAAAAACCCGGCAATGGAGCTGTCACCTCCTCCGCCCGGGATCTCCGAGGCTGCGGCGGCTCCTCCCGCGGTGCGCTCACTCCAGCTCCAATTCCCGGCGAGGATGCTGCGCCTGCCTCCGCTGCCTCCGGGTGCCAAGATGCGCCGTGCCCCGAGGGGTCTGGTCCCGCCCGCCGCCCCGGAGGCGCTCACAAGCGGGGCTGGGGAGATGCCCAACAGGTTCCCTTCGTTGGCAGCCGCTCCGAAATGCAAAAAAGATCCCTCCTCCCCCTGGGAGAGCGGGCAGCCGCGACAAAATGGTGCCTTTCTGGACCCGAGCTGCAGTGGCGAGATGGCAGGGTCAGGATTCAGGCGGGCCCGGCCCGGATGAGGGTGCTGGTCCCACGGGAGGGCGGCTCGAGCTGGCGGGGGCTCGGCAGCCGGCGGGGAGCCGGGCAGGGCGCTGCAGCCGGCGCCAGCGCACTCACCCTCACACCCACACGCGCGCACTCGCAGCTGCCGCTGCTGCTGCAGGAGGAGGCTGGAGGCGGCTGGTGCATTAAAGGCGAGGCTCCTCCCAACCGCGTCAGCAGCCCCAGGACTCTTCCCCAGCAGCGGTGGTGGCCGAGGCCGAGGCTGCGGCTGCTCTCTGCTGCAGTGGGGCGCACGCAGCCGCGAACCCGCACCTGGGCAGCGAGCAGCTAGCTTGCAGGTTGACGTGAAAAGCGTAGACGCGCTCTTCCAACCTCCCTCCCCCTAGCGCCACGCAGCTCAGGGCGGCGTTTACTCCAGCACCCAGAGTCCCTAGCTCGCTGCCTTTCTCCGGACACCTGTGCTCCAGGACCGCAAAGAGAAGTAGGTTCCCTTGGGTAGGCAGGAAGTCTACATCCCGGTCCCTTTTGCTCACCCTTCCATAATGCATGTGGTCTCTGGATGAAGTTCAAGGGCGAGGCCTGGGGATCGAAGCCTCACACAGAGAGGAGAGAATGCTCATAGCCTAGCTTAAGCCCTCTCTGCGCTAGGAATAGATCGGGGAGCTGGGGCCAGAACTTTTCTGCGGATCACACCTGACTTTTCCCTTTCGAACAGAGTCAAAAACCTCTTCTACCTGTAGGCGTCTGCGTCTACACTGGCAGAGGGAGGAAGAGGGCTGAGTTATGAATCTTGTCAACATAGTCAGTCTGAAAAAGTCCACGTTCCCTAGCCCTTTGCACTTAGTTTTGGACAAACAGCTCCAGGCCCCCCTGCGGGTTTTGCTTGTGAAGACACAGCACTGCAGGAACCGCTGACATTTGCTCTCCACGTGAAAGGTACAGTGGAGCCCTGCACCTTGGAGCCCTGTGCCAGCAGAGCGCCACTGCTTCCCTGAGGGAATGTCAAAGATCCAGTGAACACCAGAAAGAGGCCTATCTTCCTACTTCAACTAGGAGGAAAATACAGAATCCCACCGCAACCCCAATTTTTCCCGAATCGCAGATCGCAAGTTCCATATTTGAAAGAAAATGAGATCGTTATTGTTATGAAACAACTACAATCATTTCTGAAGCAACCCGAATCACTAGAAAGACAGTTTGGAAAAGAAATGTCCCCGATTTCCCCTTGCAGAAGGCATTCATTTCAGTGGGTGTCACTGCAGGGAGAGACATCCGGAGAGACATCAGCGAATGTTTTGCTCAGTTAAGCTTCACCAGTTTAGCTGGATGAGCCCAGAGGGACCTTTGAGTTAATTATATACATACAATGCTTCGGCTAACACAATTTAGAAAGTATTTGAAGTCAAAAAAAATGGGAAAACAAGTCCTTAACTGAGGTTGGGAATTGCCATTAGATTTCCATGAAGAACAGATGCTTCTGCCAGGTGGAAAATGGCATTGTCCTCATCTCCAGAAAGCAACCGCATATCTCTGGGAGAAGAGAGGCGAAATATTCTTTGATATAATTTGGGGCGGGGAAATTCATCTTACAGTAGATTCCATTTTATTCTCATCTGTTGGTTAAGTCTCTCCTACTTGTTTGACTATTTGTGCCAAATTCACATATGAAATTCCAGGAACAGATGAAGACTGGTGCAAATTGATTTAATCCACTTCAGCTCCAGTTGCCATGGCTGGTTCTTCACATGATGAGCTGTATCCATCACCAAGGCTCCAGAGGTCAGTTCGTCTGTAGTTACATAGTCCAGCTTCTCTTGCAGGTAGGCATAAGGGGGGGGGGGGGAAGGGGAGGAAAGCTAAGTTCATCTTAAAGCGGTGAGAAGACATCTTGCTTCGAGTTGAAATGACCTTACGTTGCCACTGGAGACCTTGGAGTACTATTTGGGATATTCTCACCCATGTCTTTCTAGAATGCGGGCTAGACTGGAACAGAGTTGCAAGATGAATCAGGAAGGCCCAGTCCCGTTAGCCAGGCTGTGCTTGAGGAATTTTCCACTGTAAGCAATGGGAGAAATGTCCCCTCCAGAGATCAAGCCTCTGGGTTTACTAAATTTTCCCTTTCCTGTTTCCTACCAAATTCTTCCTGCATGTATTTTATTCAACAGTATAGGCAATATTTTCCTAAGACTTAAGTTGTGAGAAGGCAAATTAGATGGCTCTCCATTAAGTAGATTAAGTAGATTCCAAGGTTTCTATTTTGCGAACCACTCTTTTCTGCTATGGGCAGGAGGGAACCATCCCCTCCAACCAAAACCAAGAAAAATACAGCTGTTGGCTTTGTTCCTTAACACAACGATGTGCAGTAAAGGAGGTCAGGGAGTGAAGGAAGCCCTGTGCAATCCTGTAGTTGTAAGAGGACTACACAGACCATTTCTAAGAAGACTCTCTGACCTTCTTTCTGTTCCTCCAATGTGTCAAGTTCTTTCCAAAAGCTTTTGGCATTTGCACATGCCATTCATTCCCCGTGCCCCTTCCTCGTGTTCCTGGCATTCTTCAGCATCACAGCTGAACGGTCCCTACTTCTCTGAGGCATTCCCTGGCCTCCCCATAGTCCCTGCTCCTGGTATTTTGTCTTAACATCTTTTTTGTTTCCTTCTTCATGGAACATTTGCCTTTTGTAATATTTGTTTACTTATAATTGCCAACCATTCCACTATATCTCTGCTATTAAGAGTCTGGCACTTAGTAGATGCTCAATTATATTTACTGACTGGAGATAAATATTTCGTAGATGAATGAGTAAATTACTGAATTTGTTCAGTGATATTTAGCTTTTAAAGCTCTACCTTTATTTAAATTCTTGCCCCCCAAAACCCAACAACAAAGTGTGTTGTAAGCCAGTAAATTTCCAGTTTGTAACTCCTATTCCTGTTGAAATAACTGTCCTACCCATTCCTGCATACATATGCACCAAAAATATTTACTGAGCACTTAATATATGACAAGAGTTATTGTAGGTGCTGGGATACAGTTAAAACAAAACAGAGTCCCTTTCTTCACAGAACTGAAATTCTATCATCTGATTTTAGTAATATGAGCTTTCTTAGGGATACAACAAATACATTATAAATCAACAGACCAGAGCATAATGTTAAGTGTCAAGACTCTGATATCAAGCAAAGCTGATTTTCTGCCACTTATTATTATGTCCTTGAGCAAGTTATGAGATGTCTTAAGCCATGTTTTTTTTTTTTAATCTATAAATTAGGGAGAAAAAAAGTTAATGGAGTTATTATGAGGATTAAATGAGATAATATTGGAAAGAATATACTGCAATCACTTGTTGAGTATTTGCTATCATCACCACCAGTACTATGGAACAAATATTTAAGTACCTACCATGTCAGCCACTGGGATAGGACTAAAGATTCAGCAACATCAGTGCGGAAGATGTACAGTCATCTCTGCCATCATGGAACTTAGTATCTAATTTACAATTTATAGAAAGGGGGCCACAGGCTACAAAAGGGGCAGCAGAGGATGCTCTGAAAGGCTGGCCTAATTCAGGCCTGTGCTTTACACAGAAAAGGGCAATTACAAACACACAGCCTTCTTAAGTTACACAATCTAGCACGACAGCACGGGAACACATTCGTTTTTTCATCACTTTTATTATGTTTCCCCAATGCTCTCACATACCCCTAGCCCAGTTAAGTTAGCCCTGCCTACATTGGAAACTACTTGCAGGTCATGCTGTCCAATTAGCACATTAAATATCTACAATTTTATTAAAACCTTTGACCTAAGCCAGTCTAGAGATTCTTAATATAGGCTTTAGGTGTCAGACAGTACTGATTTTTTGTCCCAGCTCAGGCATTTATGAATTTCATGACCTTTGGCAAGTAATTTAACATCTCTAGCCTCTGTATTTGCAACATTGGAAGAAAATAACAGGAACTACTTCATAGGGTTGTTGAATGGCTTCAGAGACGTTGTAAAGAAAGTGCTTAATACAGGCTTGGCCCACAGCCAGACCTGACAAAAATGTCGCTTTGGCCTCCTGGTAGTGGCTCATGAGGTCTCCACTGGCAGAGAATTGGAGAGATGCACTACAAGTCAGTCATGTGAACACAAGTGACCTAGAAACCTGAGTTTACCACCTAGCGATCTGTCTTAACGAGCACTAGACACTGGATATAAGAGATTTTACCATCCTGCAGAAAGCCCTTTATAAGCCACGAAGTCCTGTGCAAGTGGAAGGAACTAGGATTATCCCTTCTTGATTTTTCACATTATGTAAGTGCAGACCTAATCATGTCTGTCTATCATGGAATTCTATGGAAACCCTCTCTAGGATCATTCAGCCCCAAATGCACAACTGTCTCTCTGAGGTGGTTTGCGTTGACTGCCCAGAGGATGACCTCTTGAGTTTCTAGCAAGGTTTGCAATTCTTTATTGTGCGTGTTACAACGTGTAATAAATACCACATGAGTGAGCCTTTAACGTGGCATTTAACCTAGGAGAAGAAAACGAAACATCTTGCCTTCCAAATGTTGTATTAATTCTAGATTCTGGATACATAGTGGATTTCACTGAGTACAACATTCCCTCAATTATCCAAGTCCAGCAATTTATGAAAAGAAACAGTGGTATGCTGGAGCTGGTATGTGCTGGCTGTTGAGAGCTGATTCTGTCGATTACACACATCATTTTTCCAGCTCTGCTTTGAGTGACATCATGTTGGTAGCTTAAAATCTGCAATCTGCCGTGGTGGGTTATTTATAATCATAGAAGTAAAAAAACCTATATAAATCAGGGCTTTGGTTTTTGGGGGGGGGGTTGGGCTGGGGGGTGGGAGAGCTGATTGTTAAACATTTACCACTACAACAGTAGAAATACATTAATTGCTGATATAACTTTCTACTTTTATGTGTTACCTGTGCAAAGTTCCTTTCAATTCCTCGATACTAAGTCTCCCAAGCTGTGTCAAATTCCAGAACATTCCACCATCTGATCAAACTTTGGCCATAATTTAAATAACTCTAAAAAATCCTACCTTTACCGTAAACATTCCCACAGCCTTCAGAGGAAACCTGATACCTTTGTTTGATCCCCTTCAGGCTGGTTATGAGATTGCCACAGTGGATCTGTGAGTGATGGCCCCTGCAAGGCTCCTAGATCTGACGACGTAAGGAAAGTTAGGTGCATGCGCACTCCCAATGAATAGTTCTTTTCTACTGCTTAAGCTCGACTGTCACCTTACTTTTGCCCTTGATTTGCCTAAATGCAAAACAAAAA